GTGTACGGCGTGGGTTGTGGCCGACAACAGCCCAAATAAACACCCATTTTATATCAAAACGCCTCATCCTTGTCTGAGAATGCTACAATATATTAGCCTTATCTTATTATTCATTTTTTTAATTATTCTAGGTGTTGAAATGATTTTAGAGGTTGACTCTACAAATGAATTTACATATTACCTTGAAAAAATATTTTATATGAATTTGAATTCTATATTTTTTTTTTCAAGGTAATATGTAGTCATAAGTCAAAAATCTAAAAACACAAAGAAATCTCCATAACTCCCAGAAACAATTGAAGGACACCTAACAAGTACAAAATTAAGAAAAAGAAAAGAAAGAGAAAAAAGGGACAAAGGAATATCTGGCGGAATAGAAAATATATAGAAGGGACATTAGATTGAACTGCATATGGTAACACTGTTATTAACTGTTATAATGAAATATTAACATTTCGACATTTATATACACAGACTTCTCTTGTAAAGTGACTCACCAAATTAATTTCTAATTGAGAAATTTCTTGGGGAGCTTTAATATTATATAATATTGCTAATACACAGACAGGAAGATATTCTCCAGGCTTGTAAGTATAAAGAAGAGTTTTACCCACTGTTAATTATATTTGTAATATATGTAGAGCTACTTCCATGTTTATTTATTCAGTCCTACAGTGTGACACCTCCTCATTAAAAAACAAGGTTTTTAGCATTAATAAGCATAAATAAGTGAGAGCTTTACTCATTTGTGTGGATGCAGCATATGGTATTCTAACTGTTGGAAAACATGTGTCAAAACAACTTCATGCTTAATGAAATATCCTGCAGTGTGCATACTAAACTCCATCTAAAACGGCTTTAAACATCATTTTTATAATTGCGTTATAATCACCATGCAGTTTTTAGGACCTCATATTAATATTAAGCATTTGTCACATAGCAAGACCATTTAAAATGAACTTGTTAAATGAAGAATGTAAATCAATTAAATGTGCCTTAGACAAATCTACACATTTTAAACGAATATCTTGTTCATTTGTTCACTGCACATATATACATACATCCTGCACATTTACACATATATACATGCATTTAAATGGGTCAGACCTGAACCACTTCAGTGGTGACTTCCTGTTTGCTGAACCTGTAGACTATAACATGAGCCGATACTCCAGCCACACAGAGCACACGGCTCTCTGGACACCAGGACAGAATCTGGATGGCAAACGGATCTTCATCCACAATTTCAGTGCTGGATTTCTCCTCTTTACCGCGGGGCTTCTCAAACACCTTCGCTGTTTTCAGCTTATACAAAACCTGAAGCATTACTGACAGACACAAAAGAACAAATTCAGCATCTTTATTAGTTGTCGCTAAATATTTTTTACAAATTATTAGCAGATCTGATTAGCAAATCTGCAAACTTCAATTGCCATTTCTGATTTAAATTGGAGAGAAATCTGTAAAATATCTGCAAAATCTGTAAAAATGTCTTAAATGTAGCTGAGAGTGTTTCACTCTTGGTAGCTGAAAGCATAATCAAACTGGCCAACTAAAAATAATGCTGTAGATTGTACTTGTGACATAAAACATAAAAGTATGTTTTCTGAGACAGAAACTCACATGCTGAGGCATCCCAAAACTTGATCGATCCATCAGCATGCCTGTTGTTTTCAGAAAGAAAACAGAAGAAAACATACGATAACAGCCCTGGCGCCAAACAGAGAAGCATTTTTCCTTGCAATACCAAAAATCTATTTCCCTCTCTAATCCAATTATTATACATGAAAAGGCTTCGGTACAACAAAGAGTGTATGCATGTGAAAGGTCACTTACCCAGTGATGATAATCTCTGAGAAACTCAGCGTTCCCTGGCCCCAGTTACCACCACTTATGGGCCATTCCTGCATTAAAACACAGATTTGGATCAGCCGTTTTAGGACTATCCATTTTCTTAAACAGCAGAGGGCAGAACATTACCTTCTTACTGAACCCTTGTCTCTTCTGTCTGGAGCCCACTGAGTAAAGTGCAGGAATGACTTCAGCTGGACAGTCCGCAAAATATTCGCAGCAGGTCACTGGAGACTCGTGGATGGACAGAGGATATGGATTCTCAAAGATCGGATACCTGCGCAGAGAGGTTTTTATAAAACAGCTGCACAAACCAAGACAGTGTTTATAACGTGTGGCATTTACTCACCCAATTTGTGCAAGGTCAATGACAACCAAATCCTTCTCCAGCAGGACAACAACCGCATAAGGCTCCTGGAAATCTGTGGGGATACAGAAGGAACAACACTTAAATTTCAACAAAATACCACTTATTATTCTTATTTATTTAGTGAAAAAAATGTTTTTGATACTGTTAATTATACAGTAAACGTTATGGGAGAAAATCCAGCAATAGGTGGGGCAGTGACTTGCCGTTTGGATATGGGGTTTCACACAGCGTAAGGAAATCCACTATGGGGTAGTCCATCTCCAGCACTGCCGTGCTTTTCCCATGCATCACAGTCAGACAGGCTCGCCTACCCACTGTATCATATGACAAACCTCCACACAGTATCATGAATGGGTCCCTTAACAAAACAAATGAACAAATCTCATTTTTCCATGATGCAAAGAGAAGCCAAGCCGGAAGCGAAACAAATGAGTGCTTCATCCAGAAAGAGTGGAATGAAAAAAATGATTAAAAGCAATACAAAATGTACTGTCATATTAGCTGTATATTTTATGTCGGTCTTCTGAAAAACATCATGTCATCCCCGTAAAACCCATAAAACTGAAGCATCTATGCCAGACAGTCTCTCGCAATGCAAGGTTGCACAAGTCTCAAACCAACGCATCATGCTCTGTTTGCTTCCTGAATGCAACCCTGAGTAAACGTATTGTCATATTAGCTGTATATTTTGTCAGTCTTCTGAAAAACATCATGTCATCCCCGTAAAACCCATAAAACAGAAGCACCTATACCAGACAGTCAACGTGTGCAATGCATCATGCTCGGTTTGCTTCCTGAATGCAACCCTGAGTTCAGCTTCCTCTGAGGCCTTACCCTGCCCTGGTAGTTTTGTACTCCACTTTCAAGATGGGTTTGCAAGGCTCTGGCTTCTTTCCATCTTTGGGCTGTTTACCTGGGAGAGAATATTGCATGGTAAACAAGGTGTGCAAATAAATATGCCTTCATGTATTTTATTTCCTTTTCTATCACCATTCTCTGTATAGTCTTATCATGGGAACCACAATAAATTAAGTGAAGAAAATAATTCATTTGATTCTAATTAGATTCCAAAACCATTTTCGGTGCATCTACTACTCATTTTAAAAATAATAACATTTAAAATTGTAATGATTAATTTCTGTAAACAGATTCTGCACTTTTGATAAAGAATCATGATGCACTTGTAAATAGATTATTTTGCTTCACCCTTACTAAGGAGTTGAATTTCTTCAGTGAAAAATCTGCAGTAATAAAGCTGAATTTTGTCATTTTTTGGAGGTTGAAACACATTCACACAGTGAAACACAATGAAACTCAGTTTTTAGAAGCAGAGGTTGTCATGGCTGTGCAAACTTCTATAGTGGTGAACAACAACAACAAATATAATTTGTTCTCGCCCATTTGCACCAATAGCAAAAATCCATGATAATGTATCTATGACTTTACAAATGAGGAAAAAAGTATAGTGAGATTGATTACATTGGTCAGAGAAGAGAAAGATGTCAAATTTGCAATCACACCCTTAGCCGCTGTGTTAGAAACACTCACGCTGTTAAGGCTTGTTCACACCGGGACGAATATCACGCGTGATTATCGCCGACATTTAACGCGCAAAACACGAGGCGTAAAAGCGTAATTAAAAAAATAAAACACCTCGGCCTCGTTTTTTTGGTTTGACCAAAGGTAATATGCATTAAAAACTGGCCAACCAATGAGATTGGCGCTTTTGTTCACGTGCTGAAGTTACAGTAAAACACGACTTGGTGGCGCTCAAGCACAA